CAGCAGGAGTTGTTGCTCACCCTCACCACCTGAGTTGCTGGTTATCAACTCTAACAGCAGACTCTCTGCAAAGCTGGGTAACTTTGAGACCAGCTGCAATTACATGCTGATGTCATTTGCATACTGAAAGGTTCAAGAACACCTATTTATTGCCCTGCAAACAGCCAACACTTCAGTATTCTCTCGTCAGAAGAGAGATGCTGCCCCCATGGGAACACTAGGTCTAACATCAACAGGTGCCTCAGAGCACCCACCAGGTTCACCTGGCTGCCCACACTGACACGCACGCACACACGGGACGGTGCAGGACTGGAGTGCCAAAGGTCACCCTCTTTTCTGGCCTATTCAGTATTCCGTGGAGTAAAAACAGCTTTAAACATCTAGCTGGTCCTAACACTCTCCAGTTCCTTTTGCAGACGGAAGACAAGTGCCACGGCTTGCCAGCACAGCCACCACCACAGTAAACATAGCAAACACCAAAAAGTACGCTCCTTTTTCAAATACACCTCATACAAGAGCGAGGGAACAATAACATCTTCTGTCACTTGCCTTGACAGCTCAATTTCTACCGTGATCATGGCCACACACCTGCAAAGGGTCAGAATGGATAGCATGGGATGGTTTATTATGGTCCGACCCAGCCAACTACACCAGTCTGACTTCTTCAGTAACGAAAACAACAAAGCAATGAGTCACCCAAGATTATGCAACACACTGAAGCTCCATCAGAGACTGATGAGGGCAACTTTTCCCTTCGAGAGCTTCTCTAAATACCATGGGAAGAAGCCAGCCGTCATTACCCAGACTCCCAACTGACCTGAACGGGAGCGTTCTGAAAGCACTCAGCTCAGCAGCACGTGCCAGGACAGTCAAGCAGCATAGCACTCTGGGAGGTGCACTTATAGGATTCAACATAACACTGACTGACCATCTCCCTGCACTGTGTTTAGAGTAACTGCTCTGGGAGCTGGGCAGGCCAAAACCTAATCCCCCAGAAGCTAAGGGTGGCATGTTCCTGCAATTCTAAAGTAGGTGTAAGAAATCGAATACACTTCAAGACTGGAGAGAGCCTCAAACGAGACCTCATCTGCAAGAGGTGCAGACAGACCCAAGGCAGGCCGTGTATCCAGGAAACTCAGTGCACCACATTCCATGGAGGCCTAAGGAGCAACCTCTTAGAAGGGACCACTAACACTGTGACTCAGCCATAGGCAGAAGACCCTACACGGTGTAAAAGACAGCTGGAACCCCCCAATTTCCCCCACAACACACATCACATACACTTACTAGGAGACAGGAAAACTGCTGTGTCCTCTCAGTACCATTTAGTCCCTGGAGGTGCCTGCACCGCACACACTCCAGGCCTTACTGGCATGTCCCTCCTGCAGTCTCCGTTACGTTTTCACTCAGCAAACCCCTGAGAGCCAAACAGCCTGACAAGTGTCGATCTCACTCCAGTCAGGTCCCAGTCCTTTCATCCAGCCTGGATTGGTGAGGACTGCCATCACAGGAACCAGCCAGCATTGTTCCCACGTGCCCTCTCTGTGCGCCTGCCTCTCTGAAGGTCAGGGGCACCAGCACCCCCTAGAACCAAGGAAGCAGGATCCATGTGTTCCTGCTCTTTTCCCAGCTGCTGAAGGACTTGGTCTAACAGCAGGATTCAATTCATCTGGGGAAATTGTCCAGGCTCTTGAGCTCCCCCCTCACCCTGGTTTCTGTTGTTAAGCCCCTCGACCTGGTTGCTCACAGTGAACTGTGAACCAGCAGAACGGCATCTGAGGAAAAGAGTTGGCAAATCAGCACAGTTGAAAGGAAAATCCACCCTATTCCCTGTGCAGCATCTTGAGCCTTGGAGCTCCTCAAGATGATGTATCAAAAGGAACTCCAGCCTTTCTGACTAGCCCCAAAATGTGAGGCAGCACCACCCCTTTTAACGTAAACGTGAGGCCAAGTAGCTGCGAGCTGGCGTGGCGGGACATGTTACACCCACCGCGTGTGGGCAAAGCCAGTGAAACCCAAGGTGAATTTCCCTTGTGGTTATCAACTGATGCCACGCCGACCCCTGCCACTCCAGGCTCTCATTTGCCCGATTTATTTGGGAAAGGAGTTTGTAATCCCGGATTATCAGGTGTCTTCCCTGGGCAAAACCCAAATCCTAAACATCGTAATGCTGCGGCACTCAGAAGCCTCAGTTTAGCCCAACCCTGAAGGTCAGAAGAGCCGTAACGCAAAGGGAAGCCGAGGCCTTGTAGCGCTTAAACAGAAGTGACATGAAAACGCGCAGTAAGAAAACAAGACTGAAAGTTGCTTGTGTTGTGAACCAAAAGACAAGCCAGCAACGGAATGGAGATGTGAACTACAGCTGGTACGTCTGGTGGGAAGCAGAACGAGGATCTTATAACTTCGAGTTTCTAACACTGCAACGGGGACACTCTTAGTTCGTAACTCTCCCAAGAGTGTGTGTTACATTTAACGTAACGAAGGGCCTCTTCAGCGGACCAGAAACACTGAAACTACTCTGCCTGGCAAGTGAAGTTGGGCCTCTTCTATTCTATGTATTCATCATTTTGTCCTTTCTATATGTATTAAATGGCATAGTTATATGCATTTTTTCAGGTGGGTTTCTCCAGCCAAGCAGTGCACTTCAGTTCCACATTTCTGCTGCAATCCCATCGTACTAGATACGAGACACCTGAAGGCAACTCGTGGGAGAAGCTGCAATTCTTTGCGTATCTGCATCCCATACCAAAATAATTAAGAAATTGGTCTTACCTAAGGGGCAGTACCTAGATTACACCAGGGCTCTGCAATACCTGGGAACATTCTGCAGTTCAGGGGCTGCCAAGCTGCAGGAGCCACACAGGATCTTTGCTCCGCGATGTGTGTTTTCAATACACCCTCAGGCTACCGGTATGCCTCCGTCTTAGGTGAGTCACTGAGGACAAGCTGGGTGCGAGCTCCAACTGTTGGAGAAGGCTCAGCATCAAAACTCCACCTTGAAACTTCACCCAGAAAATGGCCAAAGACAGTAATAACATACTGAACATCAGTGGCCTTCTCTGACCCTTCAGGAATTCTTACAACTGAGGAAGAACTGTTCCAGCAGAACAGCAGTGCCTTTGCTCCCCCTTCCCAGCACGCGCTGCTTCAGCTGGACATGAGCCTGAGCTGCGGAACTGCTTAGGGCGTAACGTGTCAGTGCAGTCGGAAGAGGGTCCCGAGAACACCTGCTGTGAGAGAGACTGCCAGCATGTCCTCAGCCCCGTGGCAAAACACCTTCCAGAAAGGGCTGCAGTTTGCCTGGGTTCGTAGCAGGGCAGTGAGGGAACTGAAAGCGACCGGAATCCTCCAGTCGTGCAGCTGGCATAACCAACATCCCAGGAAGCAAGGACTCAGTACCGGCATCTCCCATGCCTCTTTACCTGGGGCCCCTGACAGAGAAACAGGATGCAGTTTGGGAATGGTTTGTGGCTGTCATGGCACTGGAAGGGGACAGTTTCACCAGACGTTGGAAAGAGGCAACAGCCCTTACTGTTCCCCACAGCGACAGCTGTCGGAAAGCCAAGGTGCTGCACAAGGAATACGCCTGCTCTTCACAGCCCAGCACGTGCTCCTTGAGCACTGTGCACATCCAGTCCCAGCACGTGCTGGGACTGAACCTGGGCCCCTGGTGCACCGCACAGCGATGGTGCTGCAGCAACGCTGGAGCACAGCAGCGCTCCTGGTGCACCGCACAGCGAGGGTGCTGCAGGAACGCTGGAGCACAGCAGCGCTCCTGGTGCACCGTGCAGCGAGGGTGCTGCAGGAACGCTGGAGCACAGCAGCGCTCCGTTTCTGCAGCAAGGCCAAAGCATGTGTGTGCTGTTCAGAGGCCACTCAGGGTCAGCAGCACCAGCTGAAGTCCCCTCTGAATCCCCAAGCTGCTCCCTGCTCTCCAGTCTCATGAGCTGAGTAAAGGCAAGTGCAGCTGCTACAAACGGAACTCTCGCCCCATCTGGTCAGACATGCACAGTCAGAAAAACGCAACAAGCAACGGTCCTACAAAGCAGAGGCAAGCAACAGCACAGAAACCCTGGGAAACCATGACAGGGACGATTCTACAAAGACTAAAACCAGAATAAGCCCAAGATACACACAGTCCTGGAGCGTGCTCAGAACTGTGTGTCACATCCTGTTCGACGCAACACAAGTCTGATGGGGTATTGCTCAGGAGAGGAACCAGCGTATGGCCAGCTGGCACAACAGCCCGGTTTGGTGCTGGGCAGCACAGCGCTGCATAAAGCCCTGCACTACACGTGTGGCAATCCTGCCGACAAAGCGAGGCCAATACTGCCAAACCTGCCAACATTTGCATTAAGGTATGCTGTTGGCCACTTGTCCCTCGGCCTTCATCACTCAAAACCCAGTCCTTAGGCTGGATTTCCACTGATGGAAGATGTGATCTTCTGAAAAAGCCTCTCGGCTTTCAAGGCCAAGTTTTGCACTACATTGTTTGAGAAGCAGTGCATACAAACAGAGAAGTTGAGGCTCCTTAAGAACACTGGTAATGCATTTACCTGCATCAACAGCTCCATCTGGCCCAGGACACAAACAAATGGCAGGCAGCCACTACCAGGAACGCAGCCGTAGCATTAATTAATTCTTAAGGAAAGAACGCTGCTTATAAGGGCTTGTCAAGGAACAAGGTTACCCTGGTGTTATGCAGTGGACAGGCACAGGATGAGGAGCTGAAGCCCTCCATTTACCCACCAGCCAGGAAGAAATCACACAGCTTCGCTCTCGACGTGGTGCAACCTCTCCAGGGGCAAGATAGAACCATCACCCTACGTTACAACAGTGCATGAGGGCTTAAAACGTGCCATTTTCTGTGCCTTCGCTGTGACTACAGCCCTCAGCCCTAGCACAGCAGTGCCTGAGCTGACCGCGTTTCCAGCACCGGGTTGTATCGCCAGGTTCGTGGGTAAGCGCTTTTAACAGCACAGCTTGCCAAAGCCAAGCCTGGTGGGCAAGCGAGGGAGAAAAACTGCATGTCAGATCGCAGTGAGAGGTTAGGAGTCTTTTGAAGCTCCTCCACAGATGTTATGGCCAGGACACTCAGGAGGCTATTTTCCACACCATTTTAAAAAGGACCAAAATGTTTAGGAAAACCTGCTGCAGGTAGGAATCTGGCCCCCACTGCTGACCATGCAGAGACACACCTATTTCCCTCATCCAGAGCTTCTTCCGGAACTAACACGTGGATTCAACCACAGTGAACACGAAGGGATGGGACTAAACCATGTTCAAGAGGGAAACCCCCAGTGCATCCTGACTGAAGGACATGAACAGGGCGTGTTCTACAGCCAGGACCACATGCAGGTGCAGCCTCTGGGAGCAGAGGTAGGCATTTCAGCTGTGCAGCCCACACGCCTCAGCGAATGCACCGCAAAACCCACGTTGCACAGTATCGCTGGAAGGGGATTTTGTGCTCTTCTTCCACGTGCATGTAGTCAGAAAACATCCAGCTGATTCCCATTAACCACCCCACTGCAAATCCAACACAGTGCATAAGTAGAGCAGGTAACCTCTAACACTGCTCTGGACTTCGATGACAGCTCCCGGGACGAGCAGAAACTACTCCTGTCCAAAATGCTCAAGCGAATCATCACAGGACCGGAAATTCTGTTGTACTCGTTTTTAAACCATCCCTAATACAGCCAAGTTTTTCTACGACCCTTCTTGAGCTCCCTACCTGCATTTCTACTACGGGGGCACCAGAATGAAGCGGGGCAAACAAACCCCATACTGGTTGCACTGGTTTCTTGTCTGTCCCCAGGCGTAAAGCGATGCTGCTCTGACAAACAGCACGGCCTCCCGCGGGTGGTGTTTGTTTCCATAGCCCACGTACCAAGTGTTGCGATGTCAGCTGTCACTCACCTCAGCCACCTGCTGAGCCTCCACTACCTGCTGAGACAGCACCTCCATGTTGGTTGCCATGGCGAAACAAGATCATTAGAGAACCTGTTTGAAAAGATGCCAGCAACTCCCATTAGGCACAAACGTTAGGGGCTCACTTATTATCACAGACAGCTCGGACAGGACTCTGATAATTCACAATACTTTGACATATTGGACAGAGGAAAACATGGCAGGGATGTGTGTGCACGCACATACATGTACACGTGTATGGCGCACGCACACTGGAACCATACCGTGCAAAAGCTGAGGCACACGGCGACTCTTTCACTTCACAAAGCCTCTACTACACTACAGTTACTGTTATTTCAGCTGCACAGAAGAGCCATTACCATCATACCTTAGAAAGGGCTCATTTGAGTGCAACGCCTGATGGAGCTGGGGGAATGCAAAGATCCCTAAGGTGCTGTCCTCAGCTGAAGGGCAGGGACACCTCACAGCTCACCTGCTTGTACACTGTGTGCAGCGCAAAGCAGCAGCGAGCTGGGAATGCTGCCTGGAGCAAACTCTTATGGAGTCCTTCTGTCCGACCGCTGCGCTCACCCACATTCTTGCCGTCACCTGACACAGCAAAGGGAACACACTGCCACGTCTACAACATGTTTGCCACTATCGACTACGATTTTGGTATTGTCTGATAGTATGATCACTCTGAGAAGAAAACTGCAGAATTGTTTCATCCTGTTGGGAGCATCTGTACCGTCAACTTGAACCTCTTCAGGGTTTAAAAAAAGAAAAAAAAAAAAGACGAAGTGACCAGAAAAAACCCTGCCAATACATTTTTAGTGACCATTGTTAGGGCTGTGTTTCTCCAGGGGTAAATTTAATTGAGGTTTCAAATTCATGCATTCAGGGTTTAGTTGTGACTTGCCTACTACAGGGCCAGAGTTCAGGCACTGACCCAGGTGCACGTA